ACTGAGCACCTGCTTAGGCAAGCTCACTGGCCAGGGTTCAATCCCTGGCACCACATGCAACACCGGCCTGCCCCTGGGCATGCTGAGCCAGTGACTGAGTCCAGGTGTGGTGGTGTGTACCTGTAATCCTAGTGCTAGGGAGGCTGAAAACAGGAGGATCATTATGAGTTCAAGCTGCATAGTGAGACAACCCTGCACAAAATACAAAAAATTAAAATTAAAATTAAAAATAATGTGTTAACTGTCATAATCTGGTTCTCGTAAATCATTGGAAATTTAGAGATTAATTATAACTAAACCTAGGGGACTTCTAACAAAATGTTAGTCTCTGTCAGTAAAGGGGTCTAAGAGCCAGTGGGTTATAATTGCTATCCCTTAAAAAGTTTCTAAATTTACCTGTCAGCTCTAATGCTCATGTGTTTGGATTATACAAGCTCTAATTTCTTGGAAAATTTGTTCTTGCCTAAAAGATGCCAAACCCCAAGTAATCATACAGATAAAACCAATAACAAATGTGATATATTCCTTTTATGTTCGTTTTACTAAGATTTACCAGATCTGGTCCAGAGAGAAGGTTATATGACACATATCAAGACCTTAACTAACTATACTCAAGAATCCTTAAATAACACATCAGCTGGGCTCTCAATATCCTAAATAAAAAATAAAATTAATTAGACAAGCTAAATTCCAAAATCGGATGGCATTTGACACTCTAAGAGCAGCACAGAAGGTACTCGTGCAATTTTTAAAAATAAATACTGTACATACATTCCAGATCCTTCTGCTAACATCTCAATAGCTACTCAAGTTATTAGACAACAAGCAATGGCATGTCAGACTCTAAAACTCCCTGAACTTTATCCTTGGCTCCTCTAGGTGGAAATCTTTGTTCACTGTATTCATAATTATTCTGCTGATTCTATTATTTGGCCCAAACATACTTGGGTTTTTTTTTTTTGGGGGGGGGGGTTGTTTGGTTTTTTGCTTTTTTTGTTGTTGTTGTTTGGTTGGTTGGTTTTTCTTTTGGCTTTGTTACCTCTAAATTTAAAGCTATACCCCTATCCATGATGAAAATGTCTGCTATCTATCAAGCCCTTGAAAAAGACCCTCTGTAGTGTATCTCAGACTTCCAATCAATACCTATGATCCCTTTCAGCCTGAAGAAACTCGATAAGTCATCACTCATTATTCCCTCATGGAAGTTCAGGGTACTTCTTCAGAGGGGAGAATGTGTAGGCAACTGAGTTAGATAAAAATATTATAGACAGTCATATAGAGCTAGGATCTTGCAGGATCCACTGTGGAAGACAAGACACCCTACAACTGTGGGAGAGACAGACACCTCCACTACGGGCCAGGCCTCAAAACAAAACAAATGCACCCACATGCCTCCTTAAGGATAAGCACTGAGGATTAATATTCTAAGTATCAGTCACCTCTAGGAAACCAGGAAGAGCCATTAAACCAGCCCACTACAGGAGGAGCCCCTGTTCTGCATTCATGCCTTCTTGTTATGACACTGACTTTCTTCCTGCCCCTCATTTGATCCTAACTTAATCAATTTTACCTGAGCAGTAATACTACTAACTAATCTTATTGGATGACCATAGTTCTGTCCCACTTGAAGCTCATCTTGTGATTCCCCATTTTACCCTACCTTGGACCCAACTCACCTCATGGATTTGCTCTTCAAATATCCCTAGAAAGGCAGAGTCCTTGGCAACACACTCAGGACATCTTCTGTCTCTCATTCGGACAGAAGCTTTCTTTCCCCTAATAAATATGGTCTGCTCCTAGCCCCCATTGTTCCTAACATTCATTCTTCAAGTTTAGAGAACATAAAATTGTACCAGACATCTAGCAAATTGGGACAGAAAAGGCATGGAGACTCTACCATCGTTCAAGATATATCTATATCCTTGATCCCTTGGTCACACCACCAGGTCCACAGTAGAATCAGGAGTAAGAAGAGCTCTCAGCATGGTCTGAAGTGAAGAGGCTGGAGTTTAGCAGGTACCTCGTATTAAGATTATGCTGCCTTAAAGCAACTCAGTCTGGCAGTCGCTAAATTTGTGCTCCCCTTTTACTTTGGCCAGTTTTAGGGTATTATACTTTTGAGTAGTTGAATTGGGAGAATAAAGATAGCATAATTTATTTGTCCAAGATTAAAGAAGCTTAGAAAAGAGCAGTAATCTACCTCTGCTAATAACACTGTTTGAAATAACAGCAGGACATCACTTCACTTTTCTTGGGTAAAACTAACTCCATGTGGCTGGCTATGTCAATTTTTCTGAACAAAAGCAGGTGGCACTGTACAGAGTTTCAGGGTAAATCTTGAGGGGATTTGACTGACCTCATCATATACAAAAGTTACATTTTTTGTTATATAGGTCTTAGCCATTCAGCAGAAAAGTATAAACATGAGGTATAAAAAGTAAAGCCATATTAATATGCTGAGTGTAAAAGGCTCAAGTCAACAACTTCTGATATTGCCAGTCCTGAGAATAATCCACTACGATTATGGACTACTGAACTATATTGGATTACTTTGTTGAATTCATGCACCTACGATATTTGAATAGCAATGGAATATCCATCTCTGACAAAGCTAAACAAAAAGGGAGATATAAATGAAGGACCACTTTGTAGTGAAATATATATATATATATATATATATCTCGATTAGGATAGATATACAGCACTTTCTCTTAGTTCAATGAGAAGAAAGATTTGTACTAATAGTGCTTGGACAGGATATCATGTCTGTATTTTGTACTATGAATAACTACTACAAAGACAACAATATGCAATGTGTTAATTATTGTAACTGTCCTACTAACCTGTTTTGAAACTGTCTCATTGCTATTTGTTTCCCAATAAAATTAATTTTTAAAAAAGAAAAATAATATCTCTCAGCAGGACCTGCATTCAGATTCCAGCCTCCAGGCGGCTCTACCAGAACAGGTGAGTGGAGATAAATGCAGGAGGATCTGTAGGGGGCAGTGAATCCCCAGGTTTTCGCCAAAGCTCCACCTTCCTAATTTCAAGTACTTCACCAAAGCACTCCTGCACAATTTGTTGTTTTTATATAGCAAACATTTGGAGACAGAGCATCAGTGTTTACCTGTCCATCCAGACCAAACCAGAGAAGAGCAGAAGTTATGGAGCCACACACCTGTCCATCACAAGGTAGTATGGGTGACAGTGGCCTGCTATTGTTAGGCCCCAAGGATACCAGTGCCTGTGGCATGGTCACAGTTTTGATTTGAGATCCTGCCCTTCCCTTCCAGAGTTAGTCCCTAACTCTACAGTTAGGCTGAGAATAAACAAATGAAGGCATTCATCCCATTATTTGTGAACCAGTTCTGACTCTGGAGATTTTTCTGGTTGGTGGGAAAAGGATTGCCCTGATAAGATGAACATTTGGGAATTTCTAAAGAGAGAAGATCCAAAGAAAAGAGGATTTCTCTCAGTTATCCTCAGTGGCCAGCTATCAGGAGATTGGTGGCAGTTGAAAGATCCAGGACAAAGGCCGGTAGCTCTAACTCTAGCCTCAGTCTACATGGGTTCAAATCTAGCCACTAATAGTTATTAGCTCATTAAACTTGCTATGTATGTATTACATACCTCAGAGTCCTCACTAATAAGATGGGACGAGTTTCCTTCTCATGTTTGTTGTGAGGAGTGACTGAGACAGTATACTAAGACTGGCCTGGGCAGGGTGCTAACAAAACCATTGGATTCTTTCTTTCTAATACCTTTTTAGTCCAATTGTTTCCCATTTTCACCATCCCTTTGATGAAATTCCCCAGACTCAGCCTTCTTAGTCCACTTTCCTACATTAGCAGACATTTTCAGAAACAAACAGGTCCAGAAGTCTAAAACATACTTCAGTCTCTGGATTTAAAGCTTCCCTGTCCACCACATCATGTGTCTTGGGCTCACTGACCCATGGGGGAAGCACGCAGAAGAAGGTTTGCACCTGTTTACTTGCTAGCCCTCCAAGCTCTCCATGTCCACTGCAGCTATATGGACAGGCAGGGAGCAGAGAGCCTGACTACACTAGTGCCATTGTAACCTGCTGTTGGGTGTGACAGCTGTTGAATGTCAGCCCTCTTTATTGTACTTCTATGGGTCCTCTGGAAAATTCTCACCCTTACTGGGAAAACTCTTGGACCAGAGTGTCTTTCAAAATAAATAAGTCTGGCTACTTCCATATCTCTTTAGCTGAAAGCAAACAAACATCCCAAGGTTCCAGCTCCAGACATTTCTTCTTGTTCTGCTGCATGGGGCCTCTAGCTTGTGTTGATCCTTCACTGACAGCTCCATTTTCTCTCCTTCAGGAAAATCACCATTGCAAGCGGGATGACCCGGCAGTGTCCTGAGCACTGTCGATGGCCAGCACATCCCTGGCTTCTACTCATGAGAATCCTCCCAGAAGGGGCAATAAACATATCCCCTAGAGGGCAGCATTACCTCGCCCCCCTGGCTGTGAACCACCTGCTTAACATTCCAGGAGATACTTCAAACTCCCTGAACACTTGGTTTATAGGGGCACTAAATCTCCTATAAATATTCACTAACTTTTTCCATAAATATTCCATAGTTTCAATCTTATAGGCCAAAAGTGACCTGACTATCCTGCCAGGAGGCTCTTTTCTTTTTAGAATTAGGAATGTTTGTCAGCTTTTGGACTTATTGTTTATTGCAAGAATAGACACATTCACTTGTGCACATTGCAGAGAGAGAAAAGGGCTGTCAATTGTAAGAAACGACATAAATAACTTACAACAAATAACATGGCATTGAGAAAAACGCACTTAATGAGAAAGAAGATACCTTATGCATGCATAACTTACTTAAAATTATGCTTTGAGGGAGAGCCCAAAATTAAGAGGGCTGCAGAGTCATTCCCTATATCCCTGAGAAGTCTTGGGTTTCATGTAACTCTTAACTAACTAGGGGTCATTTTCACACTTGGGGTCCTTTCTTTCCTATGAATAAATGGAATGAAAGAGCAAATAGCAAGGAAGAAGGAAAACACAAGTAAGAATTATTCTTTCCTTTTTAGTCTACTTCAATCACCAAAGGGGAATTCATATTCAAGGATGTTTTCATAAATGGATGGCTTGACTTTATTTCAAAGTAGCATATCCAACTTAATGGGGAAAAAAGACATATAATTCAGTGAAATTGTATTGCCAATAGCACAGAACTAATTCAATATTGAAACTTCAGAGGAAGAAAAATCTCTTTACACTGAATAGCAAGGAAGAATGAGGGAGAGAATACCACAAAATCTGTGATTATGTCCTTTGGTAGTGAATTAATACACAAGCCATAGCATAGATAGCTTCTCAGAACCACTTTATAAAGTACCATTAGTATAAATTACAGACTCATTGTCTAAAGTAACTGCACCCACTGACTGAAAAACAAATGGGTCAAGGCATTTTTGTTAACATTTTCTAAAGGTTTTAGTTTCCTCATTTTTTCCCCTTCATCACATTAGACAGAACCAACTTCCTTCAACACCAAAAGTCTGTTTTGTTTTGCTTTTTCTGCTACTGGGATAGTCCTTGTGTCAGACAACCAAAACCTTCTGAATCAATTAGAAACCTGACACCAGGCCAGCACCAAATGACCAAGTGAAACATTTATTAGAAATGAAAATCAATTTTTAAATAAAAGCTGTTTCTCCTTTAGCATCTTACACTACTATGGATCTATAATTCTTTACTCAGTATTTTAAAATCTAAAAACATTCTGTAAAATGTGTTTATAAGCTGGTAGCATACATGTTTGTAAGCAAAATTTGGCCACTTATAGACTATAGTCTTCTTTTGCCTACTTTGTGTGAGTATTCACACAGAACCATTAAGGTTCTGAGTTATACAGTGCTGGTGCAGACCCACTGATGGTTTTCTAGAGAATACCAAAAGCACCGAGCCATACGTACAACATGTTATTTTCCTAAAATCCCAAAACTTAAAAGTTTGAGAAAAAAGATTTGTCTCACAAAGTTTAACATAAGGACTTGTACAATAGAGAAAATATTATGCATGTTTCACTAAATGGGAATAGTTTTTCTAGGTCCCATGCACTAGAGTTTCTTTAGATTTTCAGAATTTCTGGAACATTCTATATCCTGATGAAGAAAGGCAAACTTCTGGGAACAAATTTCTTTGGATCTTCCTGATAGGAATTGTTTTGTGTGGAAAGCCATTTTCCCCCAAAACCCTGAACAGTTTGACTAATACAGAATTTTTTTCCATTAATGTGCTTCTTTTTCATCAAAAGTATATATCTTTTTCTTTTATGGAGGTAAAAAAAAAATGAAACAAAGAATTAGAAAAGAAGGGCCCATTAATGTGAAGGCTATACATGACAAATACTGGCTGCATCCTGATCCAACAACACTAACAATTTATTGCATTTAGAAAGTGATTCTCTAGTTGCAGAGTTTAGAGAAATCTGCATCCACAGATAAATTGTTGTGATTGAACTTGGGATCTACCACTTAAGGAGAACAGAACTTGCCAAAGAAAATGATGTTTCGCGTTTTGTTGTGCCTGATGAGGTAAATAAATGGGTGGTCAGCATTGAATTCATCCTTGTGCTGCAGGATCCGGGATCCTGGCACCTCTATGGAATCTCCGCCATCTTCAGTTATTTCTAAGCACACTCTGTGAATCACGTTTGATAGGGCCACTCCCTTGGTTTCTGACATTCCAGAGAAATCAGATGTACTTTCGCTAAATAAATTTTTCAGCCCTAAGCTTTCCAGACTATCCTTAGGGTCAACTATTTTTTCCACTTTAAATTTCGGAAGGGACAGTTTGACTTTGGCATTAGCCATGGTGCTGGGGTTGGTCCACTTCAACAGGGTCTCGGAGTTGAGTTGTTTTTCAATCTGAGGAACAAAAAAGAAAGTAAATCAGTCTTAGTCATCCCTAATTGTAAAAATTTTTACTTGATTTGTGACATAAAGTGTTATTAGGAACTTTTTATTCATTTGAGTTACAATTCCATAGAAACATGTATGGATTATGATGCTGCAATAGGAAAATGAATATATATATGTATATATATATTTCCTTGAATGCTTATAATTTCTCTACAAGCAAATCCACAATATCCATATGCTGAGTCAGCCACAATTTAACAAACTCAAATTAAAGGTAAAATTACTCTTTATTTTAAAAATATGAATTTGGACTCCCTCTAAGTCATTCTGTGAACTTATTGATGATGAGTTCATCCGTTTCCATTGATTTTTAAAAATGAGGCATGTAACAAAGCATCAGTGGCTTAGTCAGAAAATTTGTTATAGAGCACGTCTTAAGTTGATTCTCACCCTTCAATCTTCCCACTGGTTCAAGGAATGGCACAAGTGCACCTAAGAATGGGAATACCTTGACTGATATTATCACAGTGAAACAGCACTAACAACACTCGTGTGAAATCCATAAAAATGAGGACAATGACAAGGTTACTAACTGATGGAGAGGGAATTATTATTTTCTCTTTACAAACTATTCTAATTATTTCTCAATAAAAGTCTCTAATTGAGACAGTTAGGACCAAAAGATGTTCATAAGAACCAGAGTTTCAAAGGGCCAACAGATATATTCTCTAGTCTATTTACTACCTGGGACTAGAAAGAGGGAAAAAAATCATCCATAATTCAAAAATATTACATTGGAAGGGAAACCAAATTCACCTCAAGTTGATATGTGCTAAGGGTTGAACCATATTACTAATTTATATGTTGAAGTTCTAATTGAAGAATCTCAGAATGTGACATTACTTGGATATAAATCAATACAAGGTGTTTAAGGTGACCCCTACCACAATAAGACTAGTATCCTTATTAAAAGGAGTAATTTGGACACAGAAACAGAAACAGATACAAGGACAAAGTCAAGTGAAGATGAAGGCAGAAATCAGACTGAAGTATGCACAAGCCAAGATGCACCGAAGATTGCCAGTAAGCTGGACACTGTACTACACACTTCTAAGGTTTGCTCCCAGGAAGATAAAGCAGGAGAATTGGAAGGTGAAATCCTGCCTGTGCAATTTAGTGAAATCCTGGCTCAAAGATGAAATTTTTTCTTAAAAAGACTGGGAATTTGGCTCAGTGGTAGAACACTTGCCTAGCATGTACAAGGCCCTGGGTTCAAACCCCAATACAAAGAGAAAAAAACAGATTATCGGTAGACTACTAGAAAATAGAAAAGAGGCCTACAGCAGATTCTCCCCACAGCAATAAAAGGATGGTGCTGCATGATCTTGGATTTGCAACCTCCAGGATTGTGAGAAAATAAACATCTGTTGTGTAAGTCATCCAATTGAGGCGCTTTCTCATGACAGCCATAACAAACTGATGTAATATGTATGCCTAAATATTTCTTTCTGAGTTTATAAAAAATCATATTCTTTTCTTTAGTTCTATACTTTCAGAAGAAAATTGGCACTTGCATTAGGATATTTTAACTAAGGTAAAATCCAAGTGAGCTGAATGATTATGAACTATTACAACATGAAATAGAGTTTAAAAGAGAGAGAGAGAGAATACTACATCAAAGAAGAGGACAAAAAATTTTTGCTCAGCTAATAAAGTGATGGCTACAGCACAATTATAACAAAAGTAGTAGGTAAGAAGGAGACTGAATTCGTCTGTCCCTTGGAGAGTCAGGGAGTAACTAAAGGCCTACTGGAAATGCAGCACGTGATCCCTGGCTTTTTAAGAGCCCCTTTCTTTTTCCTAGCCACAGGCTGACATTCATATAAAGAAAAGGTCCAAGAGAAGCTAGGAGGGGAGGCCCGAGAGAGACCAGGAACCAGAAGAGGATGGAGCAAGATGAAGATAACACTCATTCACCAACAGATAAAACCACTACTTTCACTCAACCTTATGACTATAATAATCTGTAAAATATGTCATAGGATAAACTAATAAATTTATCACAGTGTATGACAATATATTTTAGAATATATTGTATATAATTGTACAATATGTCATAATAGCATTATGTAATAACTGTATAATACAAAATATTTGAAGCATAATAAAATTTCATGTGTGTGCATGTGTGTCAATTAGACTATTTAAATCCCACAAATGTACAATACAGAGTGAAATTTATAGTAAGTGGATTTGAGTTAATGATAATACATCAATACCAGCTCATCAATTATACCATACATACTACACTAACACAAAATGCTAGGAACAGGAGAAACTTCAGGATTGGGAAAAGGAGAAACAGTACACAGGAACCCTTTCTACCTTCCACTCACTTTTCTGTAAAGCTAAAACCTGCTCTAAACAATAGACTAGCATGTCTGTAATCCCAGAACTCTAGGAGGCTGAGGCAAGAGAATTGTAAGTTTTAGCCAGCCTGGGCAATTCAGCAATTTAATGAGACCCTGTCTCAAAATTAAAAATTAAAAATGGCTGAAGATATAGCTCAGTACATAGTCCATGGATTCAATGCCTCACGCTGTAAAACAAAGTCTGCTGGTGTTTTCTTCTTTAACAGCTTCTGTTCTTAAGGTCAAAGGCTGGGTGGTACACTGCAGGGCCTTCCTGCTAAAGAGATGCAGGAAGCATAACATCTTAGAGTCAGGAACACCATGGGCTCCAATTTTCTGAACTCAAACCCTGAGTATGCATATCACTGACTAGTAATGTCAGCAAGGACTACTTACCTACCTCCGTATGCCCCAGTTCCCTTGTTAGTATATGAGTATGGCAACTGTTTCTAATTTGTAAGGCTGTTGCTAGGAATTTAGTAAGATAGCACATGTCAGGAATTTAGCCCTATCATAAGTGCCCAATAAATGTGTTCTGTTTTCATATTAAAACCAAAAGGGGTATGTTCTGAGAAGAAACGAAATCATACCACAGTGATACAAGTGCACCCATGCTTATAGTAGCACAATTTGTCATAGCTACATCTTGGAAATAACCCAAATGCCCATCAACTGAGGAACATAAAAAACGTGTTATTTTTGTACAATGGAGTATTACTCAGCTATAAATAAAGATAAACTTGAGACTTCTCTAGGTAAATGGATGCAACTAGAGACCATACTCATAAGCAAAATAAATCAGATTCTCATGTGTAAACATCGTATTGTCTCCCTATTGTAAAAAGCTTAAAGAGTAAACAAGATCTGAGGGCTAGGGAGATACCCTAGTGGTCTAAGCACCTGCCTGGCAAGTACAAGGACCCAGGTTCACTCCCTGGTCCTGTATGCTATGCCAGCCCCAGAATCCTGGGCACGCTGTGCCAGACCCAAAAGTGGGCATGGTGGTGCATACTTGTAATACCAGAACTGGGGAGGCTGAGGCAAAAAGATCACTACTAGTCTGAACTGCATAGCAAGACTCTGTGTCAAATAAACAAACAAGTAATTTTTTAAAATATTTTTTAAAAAGATCTAAAAGGTACAATAGATATTGTGAAAGAGAAAGAAATTACTCAGAAGGAAAGAACAATTGTGATGGGGGAAAAGAAAAAAGAAGGAAGGGGGAATATATACATATATATGATAACTAAGATATTATACTACTAATTTCTCTTTTTTTAATTTGAGAAGGAGTTTTTTGTTTTGTTTTGGTTTGGTTTTTGGCTACTTCAGGCTGCCTCAAGGGCAGTTCTGGGATGGCTCCTGGAGTTGGGAATCAAATCGCAGTCCTATGTGCCTGCCTACATTTACTCAAGTGGCGCTTTAAACAATTGAGCTATCCAGCAAAGCCCCCTACTAATTTCTATTAGTTCACTGAAAGGAACTATTAGTGCTCATATCATTAGATCAATTTTGCATGCCTGTATCAGGTAATCTGAGCAACTACTTTGAAGGTAACAATATGTATTACAATAATGATTGTTAATTTCCTATTATCTTATTTTGAAATTCTGTGTTGTTTTTATTATTAGTTTCTCTCTTTCAAACAAAAAAAATTAACAAGCTTTTACACAGCAAGAGAAACCACCAACAGAGTGAAGACAACGCACAATGAGGGAAATAATGTTTGCCAGCTGTTCCTCAGACAAGAGACTATTATGGAGAACACATAAAGAGCTCAAAAAAAATCAGACCTTCCAAATTTAAAGACCCAATGCAAAAAGTGGGGATTTGAGATGAATATACATTTCTCACATGAAGAAATACAAACAGCAAATACATGTATGAAAAATATTCAACATCATTGATTATTTGAGAGATGTAAATTAAAACAACACTAAGATTCCATCTCACACCAGAAAGAATACCTATTATCAAGAGGTCAACCAATAACAAAAGTTGGAGGTGCTGTGGGGGAAAAGGAACCCTTCCCCATGGTTCATGGGAATGTATACTGGCACAACCACTATGGAAATCAATGTAGAGATTTCTCAAAGAAAACTAGGTTTGGAGGTCCCATTCAACACAGCTTTCCCCTTCTAGATATCTTCTGTGATATATGTGCACCCATGTTTATTGCGGCACAATTTGTCATAGTTAAATCTTGGAAACAACCCAAATACCCATCAACTGAGGAATGAAAAAAAAAAAGATGTGGCGGGCGGCATACATGTCAGGCGTGGCACATGCTTCTGCAGAGAAGTCTCCGCAGTAATGGACGATGTTCTCTCCTTTCCTGGTGAGATCCTGAGAAGCAGCCTCTTTTGCACCATGAGTGTTACCTCAGAGGTCAAGAATCGAGGGATGAAATTTGTTGAGGAGCAGCTGCTAAAGCATGGATGGACTCAAGGCAAAGGCCTGGGCCGGAAGGAGAATGGCATCACCCAGGCCCTCAAGGTGACATTGCAGCAGGACACTCATGGGGTGGGACATGATCCTTCCAAGGAGTTTACAAACCACTGGTGGAATGAACTCTTCGACAAGACTGCAGCTAACTTGGTGGTGGAAGCTGGGCAGGATGGAATACAGATCAGGCGCCTCTCTAAGGAGACCACCCAGCATAATCGTCTCAAGCCCAACTTGCTATATCAGAAGTTTGTGAAGACATCCACACTGACATCGGGTGAAGAGAAGGCAGACAGAGACTTGGAGAGCTGCACTGATGACAGCAAGCAGGAGCCCATGCCTCCAAAGATTCTGACTTATGAGATGCTGCTCCAGGCCTGTAAGGAGCGAACAGCATACAAGTCTGCTCGTCTTGGGATCACAGTGAAGGCTAAGCTTGCTCAGCTAGAGGCCCAGGAACAGGACTTCCTGGCCCGTCTCAAAGGAAAAGACCCAGGGCCCTCTCCACCACAGAATGAGAGTAATCCCCCCCCCCAAAAAAAGAAATGGAAGTAGAAAGAGGAGAAACAGGCTAGAATAATGGAAAAGAATCAAGAGCACCTAGATGATGAGCACCTAGAACCTACTAACCAGAGCATCAGGAAGAGCAAGAAGAAAAGGCAACAAAAAGAAGAAAAGATTACAAATGAAAGAGAGGGAACTTCAGGGAGGGAGGAGGAATGGGTTATCGGGCTTGGGGAATTGAAGAGCAGAGTACATTCTGATCAGTCTCCCAAGGAAAAGAAAAAGCAGCATCACAAGGAGGAGCAGACAGGGATCTTGGGTAAAAGAGGAAGAAGGAAGGAGGCTGTGGGGAGTGTCCAGGAAAAGGTGGTGGAAAGCAGAGCATGCACTGACCCCTGCAGCAGAAGCAAAAAGAGAGCAGAATGAGGAGAACTTGAAAAAAGATGAAGGGGAGGAGATGGCTTTAGACGGTGAGACCAGGAGAACAGAAAACAGAACACATCATGGTAAGAGAAAGAAGAAAAGACAGCAACAATGGGAGGAAGAGGTCTTGGGTATACATGATCCTGAGGATGGTGGGACTAGGGAAATGGAGAGCAGAGATAAGAAAAGAAGGTAGCAGCACCCAGAGGGGAAGGCAACTAGAGCCAGTGCAAAGCAGAAAGCTAAAAAGAAACAGAAGAGGGACTGAACATCTGGTCCTGGTGGAGTTCAATTGATGCTTTTCCAGCCGTCGTCTTGACACCAGTATCTCAAGACCAGTGCAGGACTTGTGCACTCCTAAACGAACTCTCTCCCTCACAAGGAGGAAACCACTCTCTGCTGCAAAATCCTTGCCAAACCTCAGTGTAGAGCATGGATGTAGTGCCCTTTATAGCTTCTAACCCAGAGAACACAATTTCTAGTGCTTCCCGGAGCCAGACAGTTGAAGGATAAGGAGTACTGAGAACTGTGAGAAAATGAGAGACAGGGCACCTCTGCTGAGAGATGCTAAAAATACAGGCTTCTATGAATATCTTCTTAAATTAAAAAAAAAAAGATGTGGCACTTTCATACAATAGAGTACTATTCAGCCATAAAAGACTTTAGCAGGTAAGTAGATGCAACTAGAAACCATAAGTGGAATAAACTAAACACATAAGTGTAAACGTCATATTGTCTCCCTAGTGAGAGAAGCTGAAAGAGTAAATAAGATCCAAAATGTACAATAAATATTGTAAAATGGGGGAAAGAATCCTCAAAGGGAAAGAGAAACTGGGATGGGGAAATGGAGAAAAGAAGGAAGAGGAAAGCTTAAAAAAAAAAATAATAATAGATGAGAGAGAGAGAGATAGGTAGATAGAGATAGACAGACAGATACTACTTATACTACTAATTTCTCTTAGTTCATTGAAAAGAAAAATTTGTGCTAATATTGTTTGTTCAATTAAATGTCAATATCTTGTACTTTGAGTAACTAATTTAAAGATAACAATACACAATGCTAACATTGTGGTAACCTCCTATTATCTTGTTTTGAAATTTTGTTTTGTTTTTCCTTTAAAATAAAAAAAAACTGAAGAAAAAAAATCAAAAGGCCCACAGGGGACTCAAAGGCCTTGGGGATGACCGAGGCAGAGCCCCGAGGTAGGGCTACCGCCCTCACCTCCCAGCTACACAGCACCGTCCTGTGAGTCGAGCTCCTGCAGCCCCTCTCACCTTCTCCAAGCCCGTAGACTCATCCTCCACGTCCTTGGGGAGCAGGATGAGCATGCTGAGGTGCTTGTTTTGAAAAGGAAGCTCTATGATCTTACAACTGATATCATCAATGTTTCCCATACAGAATGTGGCCTCCATATTCATCATTTGCACTGGTTTGGTGTCTGACTGTTAAAAGAAAAGAAGGGGGATGGGTTTTAGTTTACACAAGCATAAATATTTATACACACATATGCACACATATGCTCACACGCAAATGTGTATATATATACATATACAATATGTGTATCGCCTGTATACACCCATGTACGCATAGACAAATATATCTACATATACATAAATATACAGATACTTATATATTTGAAACTTCTATAGTTTCAAATCATTGTGTTTTATGATACATCCACTATGACCCAAAGCATGCTGCACCCAAACCATTAAGAGTCCTGTGAAGAGCTTATGACTTCCTTTGAAAAGTTGTTCACATACTTTATAATTCCACATGTTATCCATCATAGCAACTATATACACTATACTTGCATATTTAAAATATTAAAAATAAGACAGAATGACTGAAAATATAAGCCAAACTTGAGTTAATCTTTAAGGACATGAGACCTCTATTCCTAGCAAAGCCAACTTGAAAGTAAACTCTAGTGCACACCCACATATACATTCACATTCAGCTCCTAAAAATGCTTTAAAAACCTTAGCAGACATAAAGACAAAATAATATTCAGTTTGGCCTCTGTTTGCCTTTGCTTTGATCACCTGCTGCATCCTGTATTGCCCTCTAATCTGAACTGGTGAGGAGCATGGATTGGAAATGAGAATCTGAGTTTCAGTCCCAAATGCGTCTGTTCCTGAAACTTTGAGCAATTCACTTGACCTCTCTAAGACACATTTTCTATGTCAGTGGAATGAGAAACTTGGAAATTTCATAATAATCATGGTGAAGGAAGAAAGGAGAGAAGAGAACAGTGGGAGGCAGAGAGGTAGTGACAATACGCAGGCACTGTAGCTGTTCTTATATCTTTTCTTTAAACTATCTAAGTAAAGCAAAATATTAAGCTGTTGAAGTTAGTCAGTAGGTACACTGATGTTTATTATATTTTATATTAGTTTCTGTCTGCTTGAAATATTTCATGATTTTAAAAACCAAGAATGTTCTCAAGAATATTTCTGTCTCCCAGTTGCAACACATCTCATGCTCCTTTGGCAATAGAGCCCTTGAAATGTGCTATCACTAGTTCATTTGTCTCCAGGGACCACTACCACCCCATCCCAATCCCCTCCACAGGGACTGGTTTCATAAAGGAAAACTGATTTTCACTAACAAGTAAAAGACTACAGGTAACTTAATGTAACTTATTGTTCCTCCTGGATATCCCATGGGATATTTGCCTGCTGACTGAATCTCTTGAGGGTGTGACTTTCAGGTTCATATCAGATCTGCACACATATTGCAGTTAAACAGTAACTGAACCTTACCCAACACCTATCTCAAGCAGACCTACAGTTTACTTATTTATTTTTTGCGTTTACCTCTATTTCAACGCTTGCCACAGTACTGAATATATTTATTTATATGAATATTTGTTTATTAATATGAAATTTTTATTTATCTCTCCACCTTCCACCTTAGTTAAAATACAGAGAAGGCTAAATCATGTTTTACATTCCTAGTGTATTCCATCATGTTGTAACTGTTTGCTGAATAGTTGGATAATAAATAATTGAAGATTTCAATTCCATGTGTAACAGGAATAGAACTCTGCTGGAAAAACACAATGTTTTTAAATTAACTGTTATTTTTTTCATTTATTCTTTAAAAAGGACACAAATTTGTCTAAACATCGCATCAGATCACATTGCTAATATGTTCGATATACTTGTAGTAGTGGTCTCCAAAAGATGTCATCAACTTATCTGCAAATGACTATGAACACAATAATTCCATTTACTGAAATGCCATTTGAGATTTACCCTCTGAAAACAAAATCAACTAAAGGTTATCCTAGGAAATACAGTACAATATGTGACAGGTCACAGTCTAAACAGGGCACTAAAAATACTTCATAAAATTACCTTCAAACTCTCTGTATGAGAAGTATAAGAAACAGAAGTGAATTCTGTGTTTATACTTAGGTTCCATCCCTAAGTATCTCAATATATGCCTGCAAATATTCCAAACTCTGACAATACTTCAAGTTCTAAGTGTCTAAGATAGGGATACTCAACATCTCTGTGTGTGTGTGTGTGTGTGTATATATATATATATATATATATATATGTAAATATATAACTAGAAACTTTTAATATGTATATTCCAAACTTTTGTCAATTTAACGTAAGTCATTAAAGTTGACACCATCAGACATGTGAAAAGTTTAGTAACATCACCCAAAAAAGTCCAAAGGTTGACAATACCAATTCAAAGGAAACAAAAGAAAAGTAATAGCATCTGAATTCAAAAGGAGGGTGTATCCCCATGCAGCCTTGAGGACAGTTTTATGGTATAATTAAGTGAAGCAGTGAAAGATTAATGACAAGTCAAACTTTTAATCCTGTTCAGAGAGTCTGGTATCACCTAGTTTGTGGTTTAATTGCAACAATAAAGGAACAGCACACACACCTCCTCTATTCCCAAAAGATACTTACTAATGCTGTCTTAAATGTAAAAACTAGAAACCTTAGTGTGGTCAGCATAAAAGTCCAGGGCTCCCTAACAACTATAGCATTTCATGATGTGGCCCTGAAGACGTAATGAGAAGTAGCATTAGCAACATGTTTCAGATTTCATGTAAACATACAGAGGGAACCTTTTGAAGCTGCTCAGGAAGGAAAGCCCAGCTCCAAGCCAATGAGACAGAAGGGGCCTCTGACATGTCAAGTAGTGTTGCCCCATTCCTTGCTAGCTCCCAGCTGTGACCAACCAGCAGTCCACCTTTTCTTTCTTTCCTTGCTGGCTTTTCTTCTTCAATGAGGAGGAATTGTTTTGAGTTATGTATAATACAAGTAATGTATATAAGTAATAAAACATTTTTTATATTTTTAATTACAACGTTTTCCAAAAGAGGGAAAAGAAGTTGTGGTATGGGCTGGACACCACTGGCAGGCTGTAAATTCCTGCTTCACTTCAGCTCCTTAAAAGACAACACTAACAGAGCCAGGGAGATAGCTCAGTGGAATAAGCGCTTGCCTGGCAAGCGTAAGGGCCTGAGTTCAATCCTCAGTTCTGCCAAAATAAATAAATAAATAAATAAATAAATAGACAACACTAAGAAAATGAAAACTCCATGCTCAAAAATTTAAGAAATTGTATAGAGATGAAAAAGTCCTGTCCCTAGAGGTCAGCTTTAGAAGACCACTGAGGTCAGGAAGCCAACCTTGACAAGAGAGGACTAGAGAAGGACCCCCCATGTCTCTCTACCATTCTTCAATATTCTGAGTCAGTAAGGTTGTCCTCTCTCAGTGAAAATGCCCAATAAAGGCCAATCAGGTTTTGTCTGTCATTGACTCTTAATCAAACTGACCTTTGAAGATCAACCAGTCATTCATTCAAGAAATTTTCAGATCCCTAGTGCCTGTGTCCAGGATGTGGCAAGAAACTCCATACCTTAAGATGAGTAAGTCACGGTCCCTGCTATTATAAAACCCATCCACTAGGAGCGGACCTAGTCAAGACAAACAGATTCTACTGAGAAAAGTAACTTTGGAAATACATATAGCATAAATAAAAATTATTTGGAGAAGAAAGAAAGAAGCATGGAAGCCAGTCCCTCTAACTTTGTATCGTGTTGGTCTTTTTTCCCTACAGATTCTGGCATTTAAAAAGTTCTAGTATATTTGGGAAAAATAAGTGATTGGTCCCAGGTACTCTAGGTTCTGGGAGAAACTTGAAAAATTAAATGAATGCCCAAAAGCTCCTAGGTAAGTAAGCTTTTTTCAAGTACTGTGGCACAAGAAGGGTTGCCTTAGGGTTGTTCTTAACACAAGTCATCACATCAGTGAAGACTAAGTCCCATTCCATATAGATCCCTGAATTGTCATAGTTCGCCGATAAGTGGGCCAATTTTCTAATCTCGCTTCTTTGGTTTAATTTATGGAAGAGGACTTTACTTGTATCTACCACTTAGTTTCTACATATTCACATCAATGGAATTAATGAGACAGTCTTGTAAAAGAGGCTTCTAATTCTCCCCTATAATAATTCCCAGTGATGCAGGTAAGCTATGCTTTCTTCACAGCCAGCAAATGCTTCTAAGCGTCTTATAAATTATAAATTAAGCTATCAAGATCACTGCTGAAGCACTGGTTTAGCATTTTTGAAGCCCTGCATTCAATGTCCTGCACTGTAAGAGAAATACCAAATCAAAACAACCAAAGCATGTGTTTCCCTAACAATAGGTGAAAAAATGAGATTATAAAGAAGTCTGTCAGGAATAAAATGCCTCAATGACCAAGGCTTCATAACAACTCAAAGGCCTCTGATGAGACTCAGTTTATGTTCTTTTCATTTATTTTCCTTTCTTACTAAAAATTTCTATACCCTCATCTTCCTCACTGGGATGAATTCTACTAAACTCCCCACCCCCATTGCCATAATTTCTCAGTTTGGAGTAGGGTACATCTATGTACCTACCAATGCTTCAAGCAGCAGCACCCTACTCTAGACCTAAGAAATTACAGAAACAAAGTGGAAATAGAGCTTTTGCCAGTGGTGAAGGGAACAAGAGTTGGAGGCAGCAGGGAGGGATGGGAGAGGGCACCAAAAATAATTAAGATGTGTCACATATGTGTACAAACTCCCTATTATAAATGTAATAAGAACTGCAAACATATACTGATAAAAATAAATTAAAAGTGAAAAAACAAAAAATTAATTAATTAAAAAATCAAAGTAAGGCCAGCCAAATAGTGGATTAAAGTGCCTGCTTAGGCAGAGCGCAGTGACCAGGATTCCATCTCCTGCATGCTGTGCCAGCTCGTCCCCACCCCTGCTGTCCCAGGGGCACGCTGAGATGGCAATTGAGACTGGGCGTGGCATGCACCTGTAATCCCAGCTCCTGGGAGGCTGAACACAAGCAGATCACTGCAAGTTCGATCTACGTAGTGAGACCCTGTAGACCCTGTAGACCCTGTAGACCCTATATTAAAATACAAACAAAATCAAAGTAGTGATCGTTGGATTATTGCATGCTGCTGCATACCTTGCTGACTCTGAAAGGGCATTCCTTTGTTTCTGATTCAGGAAATTTCTTCATCCACTTTCCAATAAAGTAGGCAGCATTAACCACAAGGATTTTGGTCTGGTCACTCACACTGTTGTCAGATAAAATGTTCTCAAAGTGACCTGCAAACAATTTTAGAAAACCACAAGTAGCAGAGTCATCCTTCCAAACTACATCTGATATATATGCACATGTTCATTCACCGGGCATGAGCTGCCTAGAGCCACAGCACACAGGGCCTTGTAGCACAGGCTGTACAATTTCAGGACTTTTCTCTATTGCTTGACCACACCAGACTTACCAAAGAGAGACCCAAGATGAGAAATCAGGTCTTTCTGACTCAAAGCCTGCCCTTCCAAGCAAAAATATATGTTCTATGGCTTTCTACAAACCTAGTTCTGGGCTGGGGAGATAGTGCAGCAGCATAAGCACTTACCTGGCAAATGCAAGGCCCTGAGTTCATTACCTAGTACCAAAAAGAAAAAAAAAAAAACACCCTAGTTCTGTGCTCAGCATTTTTACCTACACCTTCTCATATTTTTCTACAATGGTCCTGTAAGGTAAAAGTCATTATTTCCATTGTATCATTGAGAAAACTGGGGCTCAGAGAGATGAAAGAGTTGTCATAGTTCACTCAGCTAGAAAAGGTGTCAAGATAATGTTTCCTTTTACCTGAAAGCCCCCATTCCTGCCCGCTCCTTGCAGGCAGGCTGGAGCCTGACCTTAGCCTCAAGTCAACTGTGATCACCACAAGCTAGAGTTCAATGGTGACAGCTCCTTAATACTAAGATCTCATTATACTTAATTGTACCTCATGTTTTCCAAAGACTTTTCATTTCCTTGCTTTCTGATTTTTCTATTAATCCTCAAGGTCCATCTCATAAGCCTGGACCAGTATGCAAAGAGCCCTGCATTTGGTTTAATGTTCTATTGGCACCATCTTAAAAATGTTTACCAAAATTTCTAAAAAAGTGCCCTGCATTTTCATTTCTGCACTGGACACTGAAAATTATGTAAATGGTCCACCCAATGCTGTACGTGTCAAATACATAATAGCATTACTGAAGAAACTGGAAGAGCAAAGAAGCACAGGCACCAGTAAGTGGCAGCGCTTCAGTTTAAATGCTAAGCTTTCATTTCCAAATTGAGAAGTCTCTTCACCAACCTACATTCTCTGCTCCAAAACCTTACATAAATTGAGACTTTAAAATAAAAATCTCTTTGAGAGAAAACTTAGTTTCTTAGAAATTCCAAAACTTAAACTGTAACAGCAACATAAGCAGAAGTTGCTTTGTGTTTTTAATTTTAATTGTGCTTATCCTGGTATTATACCCATCAAAGTTTTGTTTTCACAGATAGAGCCAAAAAAGCTTTATTCCAATAACATAGGCACGGATGTGTATGCATGTATTCATGTGTGTATATACAAATATATGTATGGCTGCCATTTATTGGTATATATTACTGAATTTTATCCTTGCGGCCTGGTAAAACCATGTAGTACATTGCTATGGTTTATGTATAGGTGTCCCCCCAAAGGCTCATGCTATTTTGGGGTGGCCTCTGGAGTTTGTGATTAATTATTGTGGGTGGGATGCGGCACCAGCCCTGGAACAGGTAATTTGCATTTCAATGTAAGGAGGAAAGAGAAGCTAGCTGCTGGAGCTGCTCCTACTCCCCTTTTGCGCTCTTGCTCTTTGCCGCTGCCATGAAAGGTTGCTTTCTGCTATGTGCTGCTCTGCCTTGGACCCAGCTGAATATGGACTGAAACCTCCAGTAACTAATGAGCTAAATAAATCTTTCCTTCCCTAATTTGAGTGTCGGGTATTTGTCCCAGCAATGAGAGAAGAGTAACTGAGGTACACATGCCCCATTTTACAGTTTGATAAATTGAGTTTCCATCTCTATCCTTGTCCATAAGTGGAAATGCTTGGATTTGAACCTCGATCCTAAGAATTCCAAAGTTCTTGTTGATTTCATGTAGTTATATGTGGACTTTATCATTCAAGGGTATGTGCCCCTGTGAGCTCACAAGAAATACATGAGAAGTATTTCCCTCCGGGGCCAGCAGCCTCTACCATATGCTTCAGTCCTTCATGATTGTCAGCTAGTTCCCAAGCAAGCACCTGGGTACACAATTATCATAAACATATCCCCCAGAAAAGGAGACTTAGTCACTGATTAGAATCCAAATCATCTTAGTTCCAGTTCCTTTCAATCAAGGCAGATGACTCACAGGGAATTTTAATGGAAAAAGGGAGCAGGCAAGGAGAAGCCCAGGGCAGCACTAAGCAGGGGGTGGGAATGTGTAGCTATCAAGAGACTCCAGACTCTCAGCAAATCAGCATGAGGAGTTGTGGGACCAAAGACAAGCTTCCACTACTGAGTTTTTTGTTTTGTTTTGTTTTGTTTTGTTTTACATATTTAGCACAGGGTCTACAGGGTCTCACTACACATAACGGCTTCATAGTGATCCTCCTGTTCTCAGCCTCCCAAATGCTGAGATTACAGGCACACACCACCACACCCAGTCTCATTTGCCATCTCAGTGAGCCCAGGGGGCAGGGCCTGCACGGCATGCCAAGGATTGAACCCTGGTCCCTGTGCCTGCTTAAGCAGGCACTTTAGTCCATTGAGCTATCTGGCTAGCCCTCAACTACAGCTTTTCTTTTTTTTTTTTAATTTTTCTACACTTTTATTAGTCTAATTTTTCTACATTTTTATTTGTCTAAAAACCTTTTTCTTTAATAAACCTGCAGATTTTTTGAGTTGGAAGAGACCTCTGGTATCACCAAATGATACCCATCCTTCCATTTCCAGAGTTAAAAACTGGCCTCACGATTTGCCACCAGCCATCCTGTGTGAGGCCCGTCTCGGGCTCCTGTGGGGCCTGTGGCAGCTCCAGGGACAGTAAGACAAAGTAGACTGAAACTGAAGCACCAGCAGTTTCTGCCAAGTGATGAGACCATACATGACATCCCCAGCAACTCAAGTTGTTGACATGGCTTGACAGGCAAGAATTTAGCTCATGTACTAAAAATACTACCCAACAAGTCCTCCAGATGTTCAGTTTTCTAATGCTTGGAGCAAGGAGTTATGAGAAGGGAGGCCCTGTTTACTTAGCCATTTATAGCATAACAAGTGAAGGATACTTGCCATCTGTGAGATCCTTAATGGAGCTGTTGATCTGAGCTTTCGTTTCATCCAGTTTATCTTTGAAATCAACAGTTTCCAGTTCTTTTGCATATGGTCTCTTTGTAGAGCTGAGGAATTCCTGAAAATTGCCCAGTTCATAAAGTCACCAAATACTTAAGATCTATAATCAAGCTATAGCATTGTTACTCTGTTCTAACAAAAGAATTTTTAAAAATCTATTGCTATGGATGTATTTTAAGAATTGGTAACAATATAAATTGAAACCTCATGTTCAAATAAGAAATTTTGTTGCATTCACAATTGTACTTCTTCAATTATAAGACATTTTCAACTATTAGATGCACTCTTCAATTTAGTGTGTACTTTAAGGAAAACAAAAGATACACTATGGTAAATTCACGCAATTATGAGGAATTCCAATTTCAAAAAGATAGATAGATAGATAGATAGATAGATAGATAGATAGATAGATGAAGTGTACATGAAAGAGAAACATCTGCAGAAATTCTTTGTCTTTACTAAAATAAATGTTCTACAGATCCTTGATATTCAATGTACATACAGCCCAAGCATTAGAAACCACAGTGTCACTTGGGATCTTGTAAGAAATGAAGATTTTAAGGCCCCATCCCAGACCTACTGAATCAAATTGCATTTTAACAAGATTTCCAAGTGTTTCATCCACACATTAAAGTTTGAAACATAGTGCAACAGAGAATATATTAGTGGTTCTAACCCTGAAGCTTATTTTAATTACAAACTCCTAGATCTCATCAGCACTAATTTTGGTTTAGAAGATCAGCAGGATTAAAATGGAATACGTATGTGCAGCAACTTTTGAGGGTGAAGGCACTCATTATGTATCGAAAATGTGTACAGAGGGAGATAGAAAAACAGAGACAGAGACACACAGAGAGACAGAGAGAGTGATCACTTCTCAGCCTTTTGGCTAAGATCAAGTGTAGAGACAGTGAGAGAGGAAAGGAAAGAGAAAGAGAGGGAAGGAGAGAGGGAGAAAAAGGGAGGAAAGGAGGAAGAGAGAGGGAGGGAAAGAGGGAAAAGAAAGAAAAAAGAGTTCCAGAATTCTTCAAAAAGTGGTAAAAACTATGGGACTAAAACAAGGAGGAATATTGTGAGGGGGTAGTAGCACCATCTTTTACTGTAATGAGTTTTTTAATTAAGAAGAGAGAATGAACTGGGGTCTAGAATTTACTCTTAACAAACATCCAGGTGGTTCTGATGTAGGCACCCCTTCTTTAAACACAGTGGTTTATACAATTAGCTAGTAAATTTTCGGGTGCTAAATACCAACAAAAGCAATGGAAATCAGTCTTTAGAAAAGCTTGCAGAGTCCTAGTTTGGTTGAAAACATTCCAAATGTTGAATTGGAACTTCAACCAAACAATACATAAATTGAATGTCATGTCACTTACTCCTAAGCCTGGGGCTCCTTGAATTGCTCCTGAGCCTCCTCAGCCCTAACCAATTAAGTGAATCCAACCATGGAACTAACTGTTGCCATTCACTGAGAGCCAGCGCCACCTAAGAAGGTCAGAAAGCCTCAGCAAGATGAGGGCTCCATTGTCCTCTCTGCAACAAAAACATACCAGGCATCTCCTTAAGGATCAATGAGGGAGCATTTAAACATTTTTCCTACCCAGCACCAGCTCTCATTTCAATTTTGTTTAATTTCCCAGGTGGTTATTGAAACAAAATGGTTGTTTATATGTGTGTTCAAGCCAAAAGAATAAAATCACAATATCAAGTGACTTGTATCCTCAAAGGATGTCAACCACAAGAACAAATACCTATTACAGAAAGTTGTAATGTAATGGTAAACTACTTATCCAGTAGACTAGCTTTAAATTTCATAAACTTTAAACTATGACCATACACACAGAAGCTGAATCAATTCTGTATTACTAAACTAGACAGGAAACATCTTTGTAATCTAAAATTTTGATTATGTATCTCAAATAGAATTTTAAAAAATATTACGATATATCTTGAGGTCCAAGGTAAGGGGACAATAATGTTCTTTTTATGGTTGTTTCGAGAAATAGCTGAAACACAAAGACTGGAGCTACTTTGTGTGCTATCTGGCCAACCCAGTGAAACAAACAAAATTAGTTTGTGACTGATGAAAATTGCTAATTCATATTGCTTTTCTTACTGACTTCGAGGAGCATACTGTATATATAAATAAAGGAGATGGGGAGCTTAAAGGACTCCTTGCTGCGTGAGGAGAAAGAAGTTTAAAACATGAATTGCCTTGAGCCTCTTGTCTATAGAGATGCATTTAGTAGAAAGTTAATTACTCCGTTCTCCATGCCATCCGCAGGGAAGGAGGAGGAGGAATGAAGTTCACAAGTATTTGAGAAAGAAAAGGGAAGCCCACCAGCTTCTCTTTTTTATGTCAGGAGATGTAACTGCTCTCAAGTTCCATTGCACTCAATCTCTTCACTAAGACTGACTTATTTTAAGAAGTTTCAGATCATACATGAACATTCTAGAAATGGAATGGAAAAGAAGGAGGGTAGATCTAACAATGTGAACTGCCACTCGTGGCAAAAAGTTAATTTGCTAATAGCTTTAAAAAACTTACTGTAGAAGGGTTCAGAGATTTGTCTACATAGAGCCGCTTGATTAATTTCAAAGAATAAAAGGAACTAAGTTTATTTACATCCGAGGTAACTGTTTGAAATCCAAAGGGCACATCTTTGACATTTTCAAAATGAAGAACCTGTCAAGAGAAGAAGTCCATTACCAAAAAGCATCAGCTACTCCTGCTGAAGTGGACCCTGGTGACACCCATCTCCTCTGGCAATAGGATCTCCATGCTCAGGTGTTCCCATAAAACAAGCAATATGGAGCTTCAGGGCTAGATAATTCCTACTGGGATTGTCTTGGATGTTCTAGGCTGCTTAGCAGCAACCCTGCCCTAAATGCCAACAGCCTTGTACCCTCGCGACCACCAAACAGTCTCCAGACATTGCCGAATATCTGGGGGGTTGGGGGGATGATAAAGTTGTTCCCAGTTGAGAAGCACAGCCATAAAGATCTATTCCTGGTTGACTCTGGGCAAATTTTGGCCTTTCTTCAAAGTGATGCCTCTGAGACTCAGGCAGAAGAAAATCCTAACTGGGGTAAAAAGGAAGGTGGATTTCAAATTCTATTGAATTTAAAGACCAGAAAAAGAGAAATTAACACCGAGAGAGAATCACTACACTGGTATGAGATGCTAGGACAGAGATATGTCTAGCCAGAGTCTGCCCCCCTTATATGCTTTACCAAGTGCCAGATGAACTGGTATATCACTTACAAAAGGAAGTCGTGATAACTGACAAGTGCTGGGAGGGCCGCAGTCAGATGGTCTTGCTTTTTACACCCACTGGAAATGCAGTCTTCTTCAAATTTCCATAGCACTTACCCTTCTGTACAATGGTCTGAGACTATCTACTGTTTGAGTTATTCTGAGAATTAAGAATATTTAAACACCCTTGGGGCCAGAGGTCTAAGCACCTGCCTGGCAAATGCAAGGACCCAGGTGCAATCCCCAGTACTGCATGTTGTGCTGGCCCCACATGCTGAACAGGCCCAGAAACCTGGTGTGGTGATGCAGGTCTGTAATCCCCAGTTCTGGAGAGGCTGAGACAGGAGAATCACTATGAGTCCAAGCTGTGCTGTGAGACCCTGTACCAAATACATAAACTTTTTAAAACCCCTAATTATCATATGGATTCAAATCTATCACATGCAGTATGCTTATCAGTCTTAAAATGATATTCTAAGCCATCTCAAATTAGGATGCTATCATTTGGAGGCTTTTGATCCTTTTCTTTTGCTCCAGCCAACACTCCAGCATCTCCTCTGCTTTGTTGTACTACAAAACGTGAAGTCAGTATGAGATGTTCTCTCCTGGTTCCCTAGCTCATAATGGCCATTATGAGTACCAGTCACACCACCTTCCGGTACATTGTGCTGGTGAGTCACCCACCCTCAGCACTAGAGGATCAAATCAGCTCCTAAGCCAGCACTTGACTCTCATCCCTAATGAAGGGTAAACACGACCAGAAAATTAAAGAGCCCAGGTAACTACTGCTTAGGAGCCAGGTGCATGTATTGCGATTTTTCCTTATTACTAGTAAGGAAGCCACTATTACCAGGAGCTGTTCGGTTTCCACTGGATCTTTTCTTTGGTTTGTTTGTTTATCTGTTCATTGGGAATTGAACCCAGGACTTGTCATGCTTGCTAGATAAGTTCTCTGCCTTGAGCTACATCCCTAGTATTGTTATATCTTCTTTTAAGATAGGAACTTGCTAAACTGCCTAGACTGGCCCTGTACAATCCTCCTGCATCAGCCTCCTGACTAGCTGGAATTACAGATATACACCACTGAGCCCAACAAACAAGCTCTCTTTTTGCTCCTTCTCCAATTAGAGACAAAACTGAAGTTTCTTCTTACAGGACTGAAGTTTCTTTTACAAACCCACTAAGTTTCAAGTATAGATTCCTCATCCTGAGCTAAATAATGTCTTTTGGGTCGTAATTTCTGGACATTTATGCATTCAAAAAGGTGCTTTCCTTTCAAACGTTTATGAGTTTATGGAGAGAACCTAGAGCAATCAACATAATAATAGTATGGAATTAGGAGGATGCTTCCCTACCGCTCATGAGTATAGGAGGACTTAAAATGTAACAGTCAGGAAAATTATCTCATTTCAAAGTCTGAGAAGAACTTTAAAAGTGAGACAACCAACCATAGCCAAAAGGAAACTAAAATATCTACACATGCCTATATGTGTGTGTGTGCGTAAAACATTATATTAGTCCATGCTCATCAGTGAGAATCCAAGCCCCCTGAGATTATTATAAAAATATGAGAACCATTCATCTTATCTATCTATAATACTCAAGGGTAAATAACTTAAAATGTTAATTCTGTATTAATATAAGTATGGCTATATTTTAAGGTAGAATGCACTTGACCTTGTGTGCTAAAATAAAGCACAATGCTGCAAGTAAATTGCATCACAAGGTGGACTGCTTTGCTCTCTAGGGTAGGACTGAGGTCTGGATTCACACTCTGCTTGGGGCATTTGTGTGGAGCACTTGATAAAAGCCATTGCCTTCGACCTTTACAATATAAGGAGTGAGCAGCATCTGGTGACATATTAAAGGCCACTGCTGAATGGAACACCTGCCTATATACAGATTCTCCATCGCCATCTGCACCTATTCTCAACATGGGATGTAGGACACATCAATGAGCTTTTGCATTGGAAAATTAAGAGAGCTGGATAGAGTAGTTTGCACGTGTAATGTTAGCTACTCAGGAGGCTGAGACCATTGGTCTCAAGTTCAAGGCAACTTACCCTGTCTCAAAAATTAAAAAATTAGCTCAGTTTTAGAGTACTCTTGGATTCAATTCACATACCAAAAAAAAAAAAAAAGATAGATAGATAGATAGATAGATAGATAGATAGATAGATAGATAAAGAGAGCCCTGCAAAAGCCATAACACTCAGTCTCAGCAGTGCTGACCAGTCTTCATTTCCTTTCCAGGCCCTTTCTATGGACTCTAAAAACTTTATTCCCACTTAAAATCAGAACAAAACATAGGGGCTTACCTGTCCGATTTCATCTGCTGTGTCACCTTTGGTACCTACTTGAGCAAGTGACAGAGAGGTGGAGAGACAGATTGGAGAGAAAAGGACATTGCCTGCTGGCTCCTTTTCACACAGCTGTTTGAACAGATCAACAGCAAAAGCCGAATTTGCCAGCTGTAGGGCATCCATTGTGGGCCTGGAACCAAGGACAAAGGAAGGGTCATCTCTGAAGAATATTTACAGTGTTCTCAACTGCATTCTGCCAACACAGTAAAGATTCTACTTCAACAAAGTATTGATCTTGGATAAGAGACTGAAAGGGACTTTCCATAATTTCAACAAAGGGAAACTTTTGGGCATCAGTCCCAAAGCATGGGAGGTCTGTGTGAACTGAACTTCTCAGAATCTTTAAACTCAATCCTGCTCCACAATGGTCATGGCCTGAAGCCCACCTACCACAACTCTTCCTCAGCAAGTGCTCAGAGCCATTGACAACACTAAATAAAATCAAACATTGTTTTGATTAGGATTTTTGGTTAAATCATACAAAGTTGTCATATTTGTAGATCACAAACAGTAATTGCAGTTGTTTTGTGTGATTCAGTTGAATACTTGTTCAATCCTGTAAGTTAATTTGCATCCGCCAAGAAGACATGTTAAACTTTATTTGCAAAGAAGGTCTTTGAGAATGAATTAGCTAACATGGGCTCATACTGCTGCTGGGTGGGCCTTAATCCAATGACTGGTATCCTTATCAGAACAGGAGAAAAGACAAAGAGGCAAACACACAAAGAGGAGAGATGATTTGTGTGCACACATATGTGGAGAGCAAGCACAACAATCAATGTCTTCAGAAAGGACACACACCCTGGTGTCAGAGAAAAGGTCGTTACTCAAGATAAAGAGTTTCCTTAGCCAAGATCTGCAGGTGTGTTAGACTCAAAGCCAAGAACAGAATTGCAACTTGCTTTTTATACCTGGACAGAAACTCAAAATGCAGACATGTGAACCTCCCAAGGTTAAGGAGTGGCCCACTAACCTTCCAATATATTTTCAGAATTCTCTTTTATGGGATATAAGGCTTATGTGTAGGTTAATTAAAAATATTATATTGTAGAGTCTGAAAAAGCAAGTTTATTAGCAACATAATAATGATAAATAACAGTGATGACTTTGATGATTGATAATGATGATGATGATTTTTGTTGGCTCTACTCGTGCTCACTGGGCATCCCACTGACTTCCCCCTTCCTGTTACGCCACTGATGAGTGCAGGAAGGGTGCACTGAGCAGTGTGCCCACTCCAGAGGCAGCACAAGGTAACCTAAAGTCCTGGTAGGCCCTGGGCATTGTGCTGTGCTTTAAGCCTTTCAGCCCACACAGCCTTCTTCTCCCCTTGAAGAAGGATGAAATCTTACCCCAGTGGAGGTGACCAGCACTAGATATATACTGAGACTACCACTAGGTACATACCAAAACTACCAGTGTCCTGGGGCAAAAATGGGAGACTGGGAGTGATTCAGGCAGAGCACTCACCACTGGGGAGATGAAAAGAAACTTCTCAAGAGGTTTGGGGAATGTGAGTAAGATCTCAGGACAAGGAATGTGGCTTCTTCCAGCAGCAAGTTTACCTCTGACAAAGCTAATGTTATCTACATCTGAAACCCAACATGAAGGTAGTGACCAATAGTGATCAATTTCTTCACCAAACAGAGCAGCCTAATCTTATAGCCTTGCAGACCTTCCAATGCTTCTGCAACCTGGTAATAATATGAAAATACCCCGGTCCTGCAAAAATAATAAATAATAATAATAAATAATAATAATAACATGAAAATATACAAATTGTGATTTAACAAACACAAGTAGTTCTCCCTTGCATGTATTCACTACTCCTAAAGAAGGGAAACCAGGGTAATTTTGTAAGTTGAAAATAAACTACACTTTTTATGATTTCCTTTGTGCAGAAAAACTATGTTTAAAAGCATAGATTAACCTGCTAAGAGAGATTGACCTTAGATACCTAGAAAGGAATCCAGGAGGTGACTCAAAGGGTAAGGAAATGTTCATTTTACAAAATATTTCCAAGATGTTCACTTTGTTCAACCAAAGCATTGTTCATTCCAACATTCTGAGATACATTTAGCCAACAGTACTCCATGACTACAGGCTCATTTGGCTTTCACTGCATCTCATCACACAGTATGTTCAGGCTGTCGTGCAGTGCAAAGCTGAGATCCCGACCCTTGTTGGAGAATATAAATCAATATACGCCTAACACCTGAAAGCCTTGTCACCCACTTTCAGTGAGATTCACCCCCTTTCTTTTTTCATGGCAGGCCTTTGGGCTCAAGTCTAAACCCATCTGCCTTCCTTTCCATCTTCCTGTCCATGTGTTCACTGGCTCCTTTCAGAAAATTCTCCTTGGCTAGGGAGTGAGGAATGCAGCCACCAGACCTCAGATCCCAGCCACAGTAGCATTTTTTGATGCTGGGCAAAAGTATCAAAAGAAAAAAAAGTTTGTACATGAAAAATGTGTTAGTGAACAATCACCAATTACACAGCTGATCAAATAGTGGGTGGTGAATCTGATCATCTGCTCCACGATTAGTCCAAGGTGACCTAAAAACACTATGAAGTTGATCTGTCATAAATAGCTGAAGATATGACTTTGGCTACAGCCAATGGCCACTTTGCTGTGTTATAAGATGACCAAAACATTTAAACAAATCCCAGTACATGCCCAGGAAAAGATGTTAAATTCCTATGAAAATCATTTTGGATGAGCAAATGCTATAATATAATTTATAGGTATAACAGTAAAGATTAATATTTTTATACAGTAAAGTTATATCCTGTGGTTTGTGTTCAAAGTATAAAATCACTATAATATTTTTGAAATATTCTTACATAGACAGCTTCTTTCATTTTCATGAAAGTCATATATCAATTTTAACAAAGATAATTTTGTTTATAGTGCTAATAAAAAACACTACTTTTCAAAGTCACCTCAATGCTTGAAAAGCATTTTTTTTTATTTTAAGAGGAAAAATGAAGTGAAAATGCAAGCAGTGTTACAAAGGCAATTTCCACTAAAATGGCTTGTGTTTTGCAATTTTTTCCAAAGGTGTTCCAAAATCCTAAATCTTTAAAGTAGGACAAGATCTTGGAGTGAGATCTACTGTTGGCCCCACCTTCCCATTTTGCAAATTAGGAAAGTGAGGTGGACAAAGATGAAGTGACTCTCCTGGGCCACCCACGCAGGGAGTGAGAGTGGCAAAACCAGAACTGGAATTCATTTCTTTAGTCCCAGACTGGCGCTTCCCACCACACCTACCACCGTCTTTCCTGGCAGTTGAGTCTTTGCTGGCATTTGCACTCTCTGAAGTCCTTCAAGTTCCAGAAATACTGTGTGCCTGAATTACCCCTCCTAAATAAATATATCAAAATATGCCAGGGATGGTGGCATACACCTGTCATCCTACCCTGTCTCAAAACAAAAAATGATAATAGGGGCTGAGGAGATAGCTCGGCAGTCCAAGCACCTGCCTGGCAAGCTCAAGGACCCAAGTTTGATCCCTAAACTGGATGTGGTGTTACACTCCTATAATTCCAGTGCTGTGGAGGCTGAGACAGGAGGATAACTACAAGTTTAGGCTGCACAGTGAGACACTATATCAAATAAATGAATAAATAATTTAAAAAAAAAATTTTAAATGATAACAGACTGAGGGCCCAAGGAGATAGCTCAGTAGAATAAGCGCTTGCCTGGCAAGTGCAAGGGCCTGAGTTCAATCCCCAGTTCCACCAAAAATAAATAAAAAATAAAATAAAGTTGGAGAGGAATAGAATTTGGTAGTGCTTGGACTGGACTTTCTCTTTTTCTGCATCTTTCTGGAACCCAGCCTAATCTGTTTATTACGCTGTGTCCACTATGTACAATCATACAGCACAGCACAAAGACGTGAACAGGTATGAGTAAAAATAAGAAAACAAAGCATTTGTTAACATGGAAATCATTTAAAATATTGTGAGATTTTACAAGCAAAAAAAAAAAAAAAAAATGATAACAGGCTGAGAGTTCAGCTTGGTTAAATCCCTGGGTTCAATCCCCAGTACAACAACAATAAAAGATACAAAAATATCCTACATGTTTGTTTTTGTTTTTATTTTTGTTTTCAGCAACACAAAGCTTTTTCCCTTATGATTTTCCTACTTTAAAGAGCTCTGGTTTTCCTTCTGTCATTTAAACTGCAAACTCTTAATAGTATAATGCTTTCATTTAATAAGTACTAAGGACCTATCAACTGTCAGACATAAGTTAGGCATTAAGCAATCAAAGATGAACACAGCATGGCTCTTGCCACCACCAGGCCATCAAGAGTGACACGACAAGCATGGAAAGTGTTTTGACATCGTACACAAGTTACCATGGGAGCCTTAGGCCACACCTAACTCATATTGGAAATGCCAATGACATCTCAGAAACAGTGACATCTAAGTAAGTCACAATAAGTAACTAGGGGAAGTCCTGAAGGATTAGGACTGAGATTCACAAAAATGTAGGCCAGAGAAAAATGATACAATTTAGAGACTATAGGTGGCTCCAAATAACTGGAGACCCATGCACTCACTAGGCTAGGGCAAGTGTGCTCACTTCTCTGGACTTAAAGCTTGCCACTGGCCTCTATAGGAAGATTTTTCTAAGTTTGAAATGCATCTGAGCAAACAGTCCTTGAATCCTTTCTTTTCAGATTATTTTGATGAGTTAGTAGCCCTGTGGACAGGACAGTCACATGTCCCCTTTGGCTTAAGACTATTGTACTGACATTAGGTACAAGGCCCCTCTTATTCTTAAGCATGTTCTTATTCAAATACAATATGTCCATCTCCCCTAGAGAACATCTTCTACCCTTCTGCATACAAACATGTGTGAACATGTTATGTACATAGCTCTGTGCACAGTTTCATTCTTTACAAACTATACTTTCACAGTATCAGGGCATTGTGGATGGCCTAGCCTGCCTCATCTTATGGAGAGGCACATGCTGAAAAACTGCTCTTAGGAGTTGCATGTAAAAGGTCCTTAAGTGCTACCTTGAGAAACTTTGCCACTCACACCTATGATAAAACACCTCTGTGGTTCACATTCCAGCTCTGAAAAGAGAAAAATCAGAGCCAGAAAATATGAGAGCT